AACAAGTACGCTATATTATTTTCTTTACTTTTACTTTCATTAACAGTATTGATTAGTGGGTTTAATATATATCTAATTTTGTTGTTTTTAAGTATTATACTTTTATTATAGAGATTATCATCTTAAATACCTAAATCTCTTAAGCTGACTGAAATTAGTGGGATATTATTAGGTTTCTGACCAAAAATACTGTTAACAGTGAGAGTACCTACCAGATAAAAAATGCATTATAATCTTTGTAAGTAATAATAAACGAAAAGTATATTCAATTAACTATACTTGTTATCAGATTGATTTTTAGTTCTACTCTTAAGTGGATAGCTTGTTGTAATCAGAAATTAATATTAATTCCACGTAAACAAGTCACACACACTGGAGGCGTTTTGTGAATTAGCTAAAAAGTGACATTACTAAAGATGAATAATTTGGATAAACTATTTTATTTACTTAATAATAGAAAGTAATGATTCTGCACTGTAAAATGTATCACAATTTTGTTATGGAAAGTATCCACTTGTATTGTACTATTATAAAGAAGCAGACTGTATGCTGTTTAGCTAAAAAGTATTAAAACTTCATATATCCTCCTTTGCCAAATGTGACATTAAAATTTCTATCACACATTTTACAGTGCATGCTTGTAATTAGAAGAACAATACTTAACACAAACTGTTATCAAACAATAATCTTTAATTGCCATCTTGTAATATTTTATAAAAAGAATGAATATAGAAGGCATAATATTGTGAATGGTTAAATTTTCCAATTTATTAATATTTTACATATTATTCTTCATTACATTTGATTCGGTTACAAATGTTAAATATTCTTATAAGCTCATAATGGTAGCAACTATTAATATAAATATAACTAATAATATAAATAATATAATTAGAAATCCTTATTAGAGCAAAAATAAAAATGTTGCTCTATCATCCTTCTACAACTACAACTCTTATAAAACCTCCTCCTCTCTCACTCATGATGAACTTTCTGTCTTAAGAGCTCGTTAACAATAACAACATTGTCATTATCATACCAAACAAATATAATGGCATGGTTATACTAATGAAATGTGTGTATACACAAGATTAGTTTTATTCTTGGTGACCAAAAAACTTTATACCTTTAAACTGATACTGCTAAATCTTACCACAGAACATGAAAAGCTACAATGCACTCTAAGGGATTTTGAAAAACAAGGGATAACCACAAATGATAATTTTGAATTGCCATTAGAGTTTCTCATTATTGTTTTAGATTATTTTAAGGTTGTTCAGCTTAAAATAATCTAAATTAGCATCATAACACAGGGAAGTAATCAACTAATTAAAATTAATGCTTCCAATTATTATTATTTTCGATTATTCCAACTATTCAAGTAATCAAAATATTTATTACTACTTCCATTAGCATGACTGTGTGCAGTGGTATGCAGGTGTTCTGCTTTTATATAATTGACAAATGTGACACATATGCTATTGACTGTTGGTTGCATAACTAGTCCCAGTGATGGCTTTCTTTGTGTGTTTACCTTGTATGTCTAAATAATAGTGCAGCTTGACTTGATACACTACTTCCTTATTTCAAGCTCCAAATATAGCCAGTGTTACTTAGAGTAAGACTACTTTAACAAAATTAAGTTAAAGCAAGTTAATATTAGTTATGATTTATTCACTCAAAAAAATATTGATTGCTAAATAACTTGCTCATTTAATGGTATTTGTCTGAAATTAGACATGGACTAATAACAATCTAACAATATGTGATACTGTTATATCATTAACCTATAATTACATGAACATAAATACTATTTAATTACGATTAGAGGAAGCACCAACAATGGCAAAAAGTATTGCTGTCATCATGTGTCATTTAAACACTGCCTAGCTTTAAGTTGTTTGATTTATTTATTTATCAACATACGTTTCTAGTTACTTCCAGCCTGTGATGTAAAATGCAAACATATAATTTTAGTACATTCTTTCTAAATTTCAATTGATTTTAACAACTTTTTGCTTAAAAGTTCAAGATGTTTTATGCTTATAAAAAGTTAAATATTTTTAAGTTTTTCACAATGATGATGTAGTAAGAAAAAGATTCCAAAATGCCTGTGGTTAAAGAATTCTTCATATTACTGTGCCTTTAATATTTCTTATAATACTTTAATTTCTACTTAATGAATAATTTTAAACTGTACAAAGAGGTCATTTATTATAACACGATCTCTCATCACAAGGTTTCTTGTCAAATGGTAAATGTTCTACTGTCTATTTTTACAGGATTGACATAAATTTTTTTCACTTTCAAGTAGATAGTATTGTAAAAATTTTTAAAGAGAAACCTACAGAAGGGTATTATTATTCATGTTTTCAGCTTGTTGCATGTTTTTGTACTAAGCTGCATATCTGATACATTTTCATGTAAAACAGTTTAGGATTGAAAAAAGTATCTTATTCCTAAATTGTTGTTCATGAAGTTGTCTATTGTATTAGATGAAGGATAGTTCAAAAATATCTAAAATAATCAGAAATTAAGAAAATCAGTCTCATACAAGAATAATAGATTAGTTGAATACAATTGACTGATGAGCCCAATGATTAACCAATCAACAAATTCCACTAATTGCACACCTCTAGTTAGAACTTTGATAATGATTAACTAGAACCCAGAATCACAAAGGCTTATGATTTTATTTTCATCCATTAAACCAGCCTAGAGGTTTTTTTACTAATTATAGTTTAAATTTTAGGATAAAAACACCAAGGATATGACCTAAAAGGTGGCAATTTCTCATGAATGAATTGATAATGTTTATCTTCATTTCCTTGATGTTATTTTCTTGTGTGCATGTATAGTGTTAGCTGCAGGTCTCATATATATTTATGCATCACAACTGGAATTGGCAATCTAGCTCTTTTGAAAGAATGGACATTCAATATTCTTATTCTATGGTGCTATGACTATGAATGTTATATCCTAAACTGTCTAAACATGATGAAAGTTTCCAGTCAGTAAAATTATTTTGACAATGAGTCAATGCAATGAGCTGTACACTACAATGTCAATTCAGATATTTCTGTTTTTGTATTTAAAATGAGAGCAAGCTGTCAAGGGCAGCTGGTCCCCCAAACCCAAGATGTTCCCTTTAAACTTTTCATTTGAGATTGTGTTAATCTATTACAGACCTACAAATTTGTT